CCTCCACTCCGCCAATTCCCTTCTTCCTCATACGCTGCGGATATGAAAGCTGCCTTGTCCTCGGGCAAATGTCGATTTCAAAAAATATTTCATTGTTGGATCCCAAAACGACCAAATTCGACAGAAAGTGGAAAATAGAAAAAATAATTCTGCGGAAGCTCTTAAGTGCAGTACAGTCTTCTAATATTCGCGGGCGCGTGTGCAAAATAGCCTGGTGCGATGGACTGATACACTCAAGTCTACTGCGCTGTTCGGGAGAGTCCCACACTGCGCCGCCGCCGGTGGTATGAGGCGCTCCACGCCGCCCCACGCCCCGTCGAACGGCCGCTCCTGTCATTCAGCCCCGGCACCGGCGGGCGTCCTTTTGTCCACGACGCGACGCCCCCTCCGCGGGGCGACCGCGTCATCGGGCGCCGCGCGTGCTGGCTGCATGTGTGCGATTGAGACCGCCCCCCCCTCCCCGCCGCTCCGACACCTCTAGCAGTAGTCACGTTACCTCAACTGTTGGTGATTTGCATTAAATACATGCTGCTGCTCATGCTAATGGTGCTGCTGCTGCTCCTCCCGCTGCTCTGCTGCTCCTCCTGGTGCTGCTCCTTCTCCTGCACGACCTCCTGCTCCTGCTGCTGCTGCCGCCCCCGCAGCGCTGCCCCCCCCCCCCAATCCCTTTCCCTCTCAGGATCCTGCTCCGTCTCTTCCTGCGCCGCGCTAAGTAAGTTAGTCTAATGCAGGCTCGTCAACAAAAACGTTCTCGTCTCCTTTTTTATTCCTTCATCGGCATCGATGAATCGGAAGTGCTATTCGACCCCTCCTTCCTCCTCCTCCTCCTCCTCCTCCTCCTCCTCTCTTTTGTCGAGCGCATATTGCCGCTACCTACAAGGCAACTACACGGCGGAGAAAAAAAACACAACAAAATCGAGCGAAGGAAGAACACTAACGACCCGTGATGATGCGATTCCCTCCAGACCGCGTTGCGCTGCGCTTGTCGCGAGCACCTCAATTCGGAAACCAGACAATTTAATTTGTATTTTTTTTTCCGTCCGAGTGTTGTTTTTTTTATTCAGCTAGGTCCCGGGCCGGTGATCGCGTGCCTTATTACCCCGAGCAGCTCCACCGCCTTTGTCACTCCACTTTAGCCACTCATCGTTTTAGTGTCGGGAGGCACCGCCAGGATCACGGGGAAATGGAGTCGGTAATGTCATTTCCACGGCCCACTGGCCAGAGCGATGCACTCGGCCGCGCCGCGCAGCTCCGCTCCGGAACGGACGAGTCGAGGATCTGATCTAGGCGGCTGGGGCTGGGGGGCCCTGCCGACGGCCGTAGGGCTTTTTTGGAGTCCTGGGTGCGACCTGAGATTTGTTTTTAGGGCTTTCGTACCTCCGACCTTGTCACACTACATGGGTGCCTATGGCATTAGGTGGGAGAGAGAGAGAGAATACTAGCTATACTGAGCAGCGTAATCACCCTGCAGAGGCGTATGTCCCTGGAGGTCCTTGCAGGTGCCTCAAGGGCCTTCCTTACAGGTGCCCGGAGGTCCGTGCCCGGTCACAAAGTCAAGGCGGGAGGGGGACGTCAGTCACCAGGAGCGGCCGCGAGGAGGCCGGCCAGTCGCGGCCCCGGAGCCTCCACACCACACCAATAATAGGCCCTAGAATTCCAGAGCGCTCCTGCAGGCGGCCGCCGCTGGCCCGCCTGCCTGCAGGCCGCGCTGCAGGGGCTGCAGGCCACGCGGGCCGTCCTGGCGGCAAGGTAAACAGTTCCGCGAAGCAAATCCGCAAGCCGACCGGCCGGTCGGCGGGCGGGCGGGCGGGCGGGTCGGCGGCGGCGGGCACCGCGGTGCAAGGCCGCGCCGCACAGCGAAACATTTTCTGCCGGGAAGAAGACAACTGCTCTGTTTCGCGCAAAAATAGTTTCAAGGAGGGGGACGGAGGCTTGGGGAGGGGTGCCTGTGGAAAAAGGGGGGGGGGTGGACTCTTACTCGGAAAGTGCACAGTTGTAATAATGCAAGTGAGACGAAATTACAAATTGGGTTGGTGATTATTACCTTTGGTAATAGTGATGGGGCTGGAGTGTGTGGAAGTCTGAAGCCGAGACTAAATATTGGTTTTTGCTACAAAAAGAGGCTTCCCGAATATGAGAAAATAAAAATTATCGCAACATGTTCGAAATAAGCAACACACTATGTCATCGATACCGATCCTACCGAATGATAATACTATTTTATGGCACCTCGACCTACCGCCGTCGACCGCCGTACTTTTTTGACCGAGAGGGAATGACCGCGTAAAAGTTTTTTCCAGTTTTTTTGTTTTATTCAATTAAACACGAACCATAAATTTTCTTTTCTTTTGGAGGGGTCGTTCCGAAATGCAGTCTCACCCCCCGGGTGCCCAGACTGCCGGTGCCCTGCCGGTACTCGGACGCCGTGTCCCGCAGGTCCCGGGCCGCCGGGGCGGCCGTGCCCGCGTCCGCATCTGCATATCGAACCTGACCTGGCCCGCCGCACGCCGGCCGACGCGCCGTGCCATTCTGATCCCCGTGTAAGTGAGGACGATATGCTCATGGTTTTACGAGGCGCCGCAGTAAAAACGTTTTATACTCCTCCCTCGGCTCGGCGCGGTGGTCCGGTGGTACCTGAGGGCACCCGCGGGGGCCCAGGGGGGGTACCACCAAGCAGAAAGAACCCCGGGGGAGCTCGCGGGGGAGCCCATCGAAACACCCGCTAAGGATGCCAAACTATCGGCGCACGACAGCCTAATGTGACGGAGAGATAAACAATGAGGGGGCTGGTTTATTTTTACAAGTTTCACCGTAGAAAACATGTTTCACAATAACTTTTTAAAGAAAACGGAGCACGGCCGAACAGGCTGAGTCGAAGCCACTTCAACGGGATGCACGCGTGCATTTGTTTTTACGTCGCCTTACGGTGCCTTATTTTCACTGCAAATTTTCCATTTTGCGGTTCGCCGTTGAGGAGGACGCGGGCGCGGGCGCAGGAAGTGCTCTGTGTGCTCACTGATCATTGCGTTTGCTCAGACTATTAGTAGGCAGGGGTGGGGCGGCTCGCCTATAGCAGCGAGGACCGACGCTGGTGCGACAGGTCAGGACCGAGGGGTACTTCACTGTTAATTTGAAGCCAACACAGGTTTTTCTGATTTATTGTAACTCTCCCTGACTATTTTGATTTTGTTTCTGATTGCTATCATATTTTTTTTATTGATATTGATTTTTTTTCAATTTTGGGGGAGGATGTTGACGGATTTGTGAGTGAAGAACCCGTGGGATCAGAATACAGCTCAGTAGTTGTGTGCCTCTCAACTCACTACTGGGCCGCCGCTATCACTCAATCTAGTGTCACGAATTAAGGCACGCAGCACATTAGAACATATATATGAAGATGTGAAGATGCCACAGAAAAGGGAGGGTTGGCTAACGTTACGGACACTATCGCACAATCGTTTTTCGTGTGAAATAACGTACAATTTGTACCTTTTACTTCTTTGGTAATTGTTGCAATCTAATGCAATTCCTCGCACATCTCTCTTGTACTAGGTGTTTTGGAGTCACACAGTTCTCGAACCCAGACCTAAGTAGAACACGAAAGCAATCACTCACCTCGCACGGGCGCGAATGCACCGAGCAGCGCGGCGGCGGCGATGACCATGATGGCGGCCAGCATGGCTGCACCGGGCGGCGTCGGCTAGGCGTCGCTGATCCCGGCGGCCGGGGCGCGCGCGGCGATCCTGGGACCTGAGGTGTCGCTGCAGACGCTGCTGGGCGAGAGGCGCTGGGCGCGGGACGCGCCGGTCCAGCTCCCGAACGTGATCCTGGACGCGCAGTGGCGTGGCGTCCGCGATGCTCTCCTGCGGGCCGCGGAGTGCCTGCACGTGCAGCGAGGGGGCTGCGCCAGGCTACGGGCCAGGCTGCGCCCGGGGCGGGGCCGGGCGGGGCCGGGCGGGGCAGCCCCGCGCAGGGGCAGGGGCGGCTGGGGTCCCGGAGCCGCCGGAGCTGCCGGAGCCGCGCTACCCCCTCCACCCCCACGGGCGGGAGCGCTGGAGCTGGCCCCGCGGGGGGGCGGACTGACTCCGCCTCCACGGGCTTGACCCGCGCAACGCAGCGCGCCTCCCCGGCCGGCGGCGCACAGCGGCGCTCAGCGGCGCAGAGGCAGAGGTGCACGGCTCACATCGCCAGCGGGGCGCAGGTGCGGCACAGGTGCGCGGCGCAGGTGCGGCCGTGTCGTGGGTGGACTCGGCCCGCGGGACGACGGGGGACAGGACCTGCCGGTGGGACCCGAGGGTCGGCCCGGACGACGAGAGACTGAGCCGCGGCCCGGCCCGGCCAGGGCGGGGAGCCCAGAGCTGCACGCCGCGCCCCCCGCGCAGCGCCCCACCTCCTATCCGCCGGCCGGCCGGCCGCTCCGCACCGCTCCGCGCACTCGGACGCGAGGCAGGGGCGAGGCGCGGCGGGCACACCGGCCGCCCGGCCGGGTCCAGGACGTCACCCGCGAGGCGGGAGTGGACCCGACACTCCGGTACACACAAGCCGACGACGCTGCGGGCGTAACGACTGGAAGGCGCGGGGAAGATGGGGGGG